GGGGGGGGGGGTCCATAGGCTGGCAGGGAGGGTGAGAAGGCAGCTTAGTGTCTATGGGGGAAACATGAGAGGTCTGCAGACGGAGAGGTAGAGGTATTACAACGGAGGGCTTTCTGAGGGGAAGGGGCCAGGGAAGGTCCCAAGAGGACAAAGGATTTGGTGAATGGTGGGGAGAAGTCCCTGTGTGAAGCTGTATTCTGCATTCCTGGCAGGGGGCAGGGAGGGAACATGGGTTTGAAATGTGGGGACTGAGGTCTCAAGGTTGAGCTGCATGGTCAGGCAAGCCCCAGGGAGATGGGGGCGCCCCCCGCGGTCACAGAAACAACAATAAGGCAGTGAGGAAGAGCCCAGCAGGGCTTGGAGAGAAGCTCCTGTTGTCTGGGGTTGAGCTCTGGACTGTGCTGAGAATCGATGTGGTGTAGACACTGACGTTGGTGTAAACGCCTGGCCTCTTGGGGAGGCCACAGTCAGACCCCCAGCTCACTACCCCTGCCGGGGTCCAGATGCCATCAATGTCACAGACCAGGGGGCCTCCAGAGTCACCCTGGGGAGAAAGAAGCAGCCCAAAAGTGTAGGGCAGGAGGGCTGGACTGCTTAGGGCAAGTGCCCTCCTGACGCAGGGGGAAAATTGTGGTTCACAGCCCCCACCCCTGTCCCACCAACCTCCCTTCAGTACTGCTGGCCAGGCCTAATGGACAGAGCATCGGTGGCTTGGATGTTTCTGGAAGGCAGGAGGGTTGGCTGGTTTTGGAATTAGGGATGAAATCCCTGGCAGGTGGGACAAGCAATGTGATGGAAACACCCTATTCTCTGCATAAAACTGTTTTTCATAGTAGGGGCTCAGAGGAGCACTTCTGTGTTGCTAATGGTACTGTTCGCTTCATTTTGATGAAAAATATCTGAGATAAAACAATACTAAGAGGCAACGGGAGATGAAGTATGTCTTGCTAATAAGAGCAGTGAAGGAAAGACAGGACCAACCCAGTTCAGAAGTAACCTGCTCCTTAGGAAAAGTAACCTGCTCCTTAGGAAAATTGGCTCACAGCCTCTGAGTGTTATTTTTAGGAAAGCAAAAAGAAAGCAAAGCTTTAGGGAGAGGGGTAGGTCACAGTTTGCTTAAACACACTTGCAGGCATTCCATGTTCTGATAATATTTATATGATATTTGAAAGGGAGGCAAGGTTCAGGAACATATTTTTTCCTTTTGAATTGACCCTTGAATTTAAAAAAATGTTACCGTCATCTGCTTTGGGGCCCCCATTGGCGTGCTTGCTCACTCTGCAGGCGTCCTTCTGGCCACTCTCGAAGCCAGCACACAGCATGTCCTCCAGGATGATGGGCTCCTGGCTGGGGGTGACAGAATTCTCATGGTAGTAGGTGCCGCAGGTATGGGTGTCACTGAGGAGCAGCTGAAGCTCCTTCAGGGTGAAGGGTGGAGGGAGCGCTGGGGTGGGGAGCGGAGAGCAGAGCTCAGAGCACAGAGGGGACACTGTGGCCTGCTGGCTCTCGGCTGGCTTGCCTACTCTTTGATGGACTGATGACAAGAAGTCATTTCTGTGTCGTTCCTCTGCTCCCCGAGGAACAGGAACCTGCATTTGTGCTCAGGAAACCCAGTGATCATGCCAGGGTGGCAAGGTGAGCCTGTGTTTAACACTCGAAACACCAAGAAGACGTGTTCTGCTCCTCCCCGGAGCAGGGCGTGCAGAGGTGAGGCGGGCCTCAGCCTCCCTCCTGGTGCCGGGCAGGGCAGTGGGGTGGACACAGCAGGGGCCTGGGCGCGAGCTGGGACCTGGTTTCATAGCCCTGCCCGGGGACTGTGGTCAAGTCACTTCCACCAAATGGCTTTACTTTTCTTGGCTTCCCAAGGCTCAGATCAAAAGTGGGCTGAGTAGCACCCCTCAAAGCATCACGTCCACCTGGCACTGCAGAATGTGACCTCGCTTGGAAATAGAGGCTTTGCAGATGTAATTAGTTAGGACGAGCTCAGACTGGATTAGGGTTAGAGTGTCCTCATAACAGACAGAAAAGGAGACACCGTAAGACACACATGGAGATGGCCACATGAAGCAGAGGCAGAGAGAGGAGTGACAGAACCACCAGAAGCTGGAAGGGGGAGGAAGGAGCCTCCCCTAGAGCTTCTGAAGGGAGGGAGGCCCTGTGACACCTTGATTTCAGGTTTCTGGCCTCAAGAGCTGGGAGAGAATGAATTCCTGTTGTTTGAAGCCACCCGGTTTGTGGCCATTTGTTACGGTAGCCCCAAGACACTAATCGGAGGTGATATTACAAACATGATGATGATGATGGTAGTTGCTGATAAATACTGAGAACTCACTCTTGCTCGGCCCTGTTGGAAATGCCTAAAATACATCATTCCATGTAACCTTCATGTGCACATGAGGTTGGCAGTCTTGAGAGCTCCACTTCCCAGAGGAGGAAACCACAGCCTGGCAAGGCTGATGGCGGCCACTCAGCCAGGATGGGGCAGCCCGGCTCTGACCCAGCCCCGTGTGGACCGGGTGATGGGTGAATTCTGTGGGTAAACACATAGGTGACACAGGCACTAGCCCATCAGAATGGTCTAGGCCCTGGTTGGGCCGACATCCCAGAGCCCTCTGCTAGGCCTGGCATTAATCCTTTGGTTATTGGATGCTGGGGGGATGGACTGGGGAGCCCAAGGTGGGGTCTGGGGCAGCGGGTCTCAGGTGGGGTCTACATTGGCTGGGGCTGTGCCAGTGAGTGTGGGTTCCATGTCTGGTCTGAGTGAGGGTGGTGGCAGGTGCAGCTGTCCCTAGGGAGCGTGTCAGGACCAGCCTCCACTGAGTCATGACCCCCCACCCCCAGCCCACCCCACCACCAGCTCTGGGTG